AAACACTAAAAGCCTTTTCTAAGCTCGTGTTATACGATAAAATGTAGGTATTTTAAAAGTAGTTAAGATAAGCTCTCCTGTTAATGGCTTCAGAGCTTTTTTTGCCCCAAATTGTTTCCATTCACATCTAAAGATTTCTCTGAAGTGCTTCTCATTTGTAATGCTTTTTTTCCACTGTGCCTGAATATAGAAACTGATTACCAAGTTGATGAATTTTCTGAAGACCAGTGCAGGCAGTGCTAGCATCTGCTTCCTGACTGCTATTTATAGGTTCTGATTACTGTGTTTCTAGCAGCACCAGTCCCTTCTTTTAATGACACTTCAGGCTTTAAATAGTTCTGCAACCCTTTTCAATTTCCAGAAAATCATCAAAATTTTTAACTTCTTATTCATGGCTTCACTCTCATTGCGTGGTAGTTGATTTAAGTACAGTATTTACTACTACTAGTTGTATTTTTTTCCTATTTCTGACAAATAAAAACCAAAACTTTTGTGTTCTATTTTCAAAAAACTAAAAGCTTGTCAAATACAGCTTTTAAGAATTTTCATTATGCAGAATTACAGTATTTTTCATTTTATAAACAAAATATACATCTTTCTGCTTATTTTAAAATACTCAGTTCATTTTAAAATACACACTACTCTGTGTGACATTCTTTACTGAAATGAGCGATAAAACATTTTTATGCAGTTATACCTAAAAATTTTTTTGCATTTTTTGTCTTGAGGAGAAAAAGAGATGATTGGATGGTGCCTTAACTGTGTAGCTTTCAAAAATGTTCCCAAACTGCTGTGAAAATGTGTGGTCTGTAGTACTCTGGCAGAGGAAAGTTACCATCATTGGGAATCAAGACTGGGTGCAGGGAGCTCTTTTTGAGCTCGTAAGGGAACGGAATGATAAGTATTTAAATTTTGGATGATGGTGAACATGAAAAACAAAACATTTGTCATCTGAAAAGCCATTGTAAAATTCCTCAGGCATTAACTATAGTTGCTTAATTTTTGTGAAAAAGAGCTTTACTCTTAACCATGTAGAAGCCACATAAGTAGAACTGGACTCAGAAGATAGACTACAGGAGGCTTTATTGCAAAGTGAGTAAAAGGTAAGTTTTGTGGGCAGAGATGCATATATTCCATTGTTTATGTACTGGCACTTCTGCAAGCTAGCGAGGTAAATTCAAAGATAGGGCAAAGAGGTCAGTTTCTGTATTACTTATTACTAATGCTGATACATCAAATGTTAAAGCTACCTTGGCTTGGGGTATTATAGACTTAAATTGGAAGCCTGGCATCTATAAATTTCTAAACCAAAGATTCTGTATTAAGTTTTTTTGCCAAGATATTGGTGCGAGTCATACAAGTCTTTTAGTATCTTCAGTGCCTGCTGAGTTCCTGAGCGTTGGAGGTGTTCAGCAGCTAGAAAGACAGAGCTGTGAATATCAGAGTAGGACCTACATTTCTGTGCTTGTAAACCAGATCTAAAAACTAAGTACAATTTAAGTAATCAAAGGTCAGGCTGTATAAAAACTGAAATGATGGCATT